ACTGATAGCACCTGCCCATGGTTACATGCCATGGATACAGGCGCGCTTCCACCATTTCCCCTCTGGTCTCCCATTTTCTCCTCCTCCTGGGCTGGGCAGTGGTTGGTGCGAGTTTGCTTGCAGAGGAGGAAGGGCCTCAGAACCTGGGTGGAGAGACACTGAACCTGCCCATGAATTTTGGACTGCAGATAAGAGCAGGGCAGGCTCCTCTCCTTCTGCCCAGGTTGGGGCGTGTCCCAGGGGCTGGCTGGGTGCTGCCCACCTGCCCCCTCCCATTCTGAAGTTCCCTTTTCAGGAGGGCGGTTGGCTCTATCACACTGTGGACCCAAATGGCTCAGGCCCTTTGGTGCTGAATAAATGGTGGACTTGACCGACACATGGGCAAGGCTGCAGGCTCCAGGGTGTCCGAGGGCAGAGGTAAGAGGAGTCGGGCAGCTAGCCAGCCAGTCACATGGGGTCTGGAGAGAGGGGGCCCAGAAGTAATAGAAGGTACACAGGTTTCGAATGAAAGTTTCACTGAAGTTTGTTTACAGAAAGAGAAATTAGCAGACCAGATTCTCTTGAAATTACAGGAGAGGAAAGCAAGAAGTCCCTGACTCATGACTCACGACCTCTGGGCAAGCATGGGGAGCACCCTAGGTGTAAGCACAGGCTTGTGGCCCTGCCACTTGCAAACCTGCACTACCCACCTCCTACAGGTCCCTCTGGACTTGGGTGTGTGTTGCCCCTCTGCACAGTTGTTGGTGGCTCTGAACTGTGTGCTGGTAGTTGCCAGTGTGTGTAATTAACTTGCTGCTGGAGCCTCGGCTCAGTGTAAGTGGGTGAAGTTACCGTCTCCCCTCTGCAGCGGGGGGTTCTGCTCTAGCAGATGAGTTTGCAAAGGGGTCTTGGGAAGGCTGCTGTCCTACGTCAGCCCTGAAAGCAAAGGTGTGGAAACTAAGTCTGATTGGAACTTAACTCTTAATGGACTTGATTGCTCACTTAAAAATATTGCTGTAGCAGTAGTGTCAAAATCTTAGAACAGCTGCTTACAAAACAGGGACTCGTGTGGCAAAACCTTGGGAGCCATGAAAAAAATTGCTAGGAAGAGTGAGATTGTCCGTAGAATAACTGTGCGGGGGGTTCGCAGCCCCTTCTCTCTCTGCACTTCTCTTTCCCTAGACAACAAGGTCCTGGGGGAAAGGAGCCTGCCTTAGTCATCTGCGTCCCTGGCGCCACACCAGCACATAGTATATGCTCAACGTACGTGTGTCGGCTCTGAAGGAGAGAGTGAGCCTGTGGGTGCGCGTGTGTGAATAGAGCTTTATCGTCCATGGGTTCCCTTTGGGTCTCATCTTGAGACACATTGTTAAGGCACCCGATTCTTCCAACTGAATGGAGGAAGTGTGGCGAGGAGGCTCTTGGTGTGGTGGCGCTGTGATGTGGGCTCTGGGCAGACTGCCTGGCTTCGCATCCCAGGTCTGCTGCTGGCCATGGAGCCCTTGGGCAGCTGGGACAAGTGCCAGATCTAGAGTAGAGGTAGGCCTGGCATGGGTGCCTGCTTTTTGGAGGGGGGCTGTTGCAAGGAAATCTTGTAAGACCCTTGTTCCAAAACCCCTTGTGTGTGGGCACTGGCTGTTCTTCATTTTTAGGTGATTGCAGTGTCAATAAAATTTAGCCCACCTCTTCTCAATCTGAGCTGCCAGAGCATGGGGAAGGATTGGGCGAAGGGGGATCCCTTTGGTGCACAGTTAAGTGATCTGCTGTAGGAAGGAGACCTTGCAAGGCAGCTTGCTGCCTCTGGCCAGCCTGCCTGCCTGCCCACCTGCCTGCCAGCCTGGGCCCAGGTTTCATGTGGTCTCCACTCACGAACTGTGAACAATGGGACCAACTTCTTAATTGTCAAACTAATGGCACATTGTCATTAAACACCAGTATCATGCCAGGCAATTCAGCCAATTCAGTGAGTCTCCCTGGCTTTGCAGGGGGCTCCAGGAGTATACAGCCTAGTCCCCACTCTTGAAAGGGCTTAAGGTTTTCTGGAGAGAGAACAGGCAGAGACCCAGGGTGTATTGACGTGCCACAGCTGAGGGTATGGACCCAACTGACTGCCGGGGCTAATGGTGCAGACAGATTGTGGGAGAATAGGAGCAGTGGGGATGGAGCTGGAGTCGGCGGGGAGGAGGCGTGTGTTTAGAATTTGGGTCATGGAGCACCACAGTAGTGTGGGCAATCCAGGTGAGAGGGAGCGGAGCAGAGGCTTGGAGGCAGGAAGGAGCGTGTGTCTGGGCCTTCGGGGTTGTACGCATCCGGCTTTGCCACTTGTTAGCTCCTGACCTTGGGTGAGTGAGTGCCTTAACCCCGTGGAGCCTTGGTTTTCTCATCTGTAGAATGGGGCTGGTGGCCTGTAGTAAGGGTGAAACAAGAGGGTCCAAGGGGGGCATTTGGCACGTGATAAACTTTGACTTTTGTTGTTAGTTTTAACCTTGGCCGAGCAGGGCTAGAGCGTGGGAGCTCCTTCAGTGCCACTCCTAGAGGTTCTGACTTTTTCCTGCTCCTCAGTGAGAAAGAACCCTGTGTTTACTGGAGTGCTCCACACGCCTATCTTGGAGCCAGGGCCAGCCCTGCCCAAGGCTATGTGCGCTTTGGGAGGGGACGCTCCTGTGCAGCCGCCCCTCAAATCCACCAGCTCGTGCTGGGGCCTGGAGCACCTGCATGTAGACTGCCACACAGCTGCCGTCCCCACTTCTTACGGGCCTCTGTGTGATGCTCCCTGACCCCCGAGGGCCTCCTTGGCCACCCAGCCATATGTTTCTTGCTGACCATCCAGCTCCCCCACTGGGCAGGGAGCACCAAGATGACCAGGACTTGTCCACAGCTGAATTTCCCAGCACCTGGAAAGGTACTGGCATGTAGTAGGTATCCAGTAAATACTGCTGAATGAACGGATGGAGCATTCTGAGTAGGCGGTGCTTCCAGATGTTAATAGAATACCCAGTCTTCTAAAAAAGTCGTGAATGGCTCAACAATGCCCATAGCCAGGAGAGGGCTTGCCTGTCTCTACCATGACTTCAGGTCATACCCTGGCCACAGTATCCCTTGGGCCACCAGGAAGCAGCACAGGCCCAAGCGGGGATGCCCCAGGTCCTGGCTCCTGACTCCCAGAGCCCGAGTGGGCTGCACCACCAGGGTCCTTCTCCCCCACCTACCAGGCTGCTCCTCACTCTTGGGTTTTATCCAAGGAGCATAGGGGAGAGTTTTGTTGTCCTTTTGGGCCCTTTGTGCAGAGAGAGCTTTTTTTTTTTTTTTTTAAGATTTTAAATTTATTTTTAGAGAGAAGGGAAGAGGGGCAGAGAAACCTTGCAGATCGGTTGCCTCTCTCATGTGCCCTGGCGACCCTCAGCCCTTCCGTCTGTGGGACGATGCCCAGCCACACCTGTCAGGGCCAGACAGCTTTTTGAATGTGCGTGTGTCCCTCTGGGCGTAAGAACACTGTCTGAGCGACTATGAGTGAGTGTGTTTTCACCTGAGGAAGAGTGTGGGTGGCTGTGCTTGTGTATAAGGAGCAGTGGCCAGGAGGCAGGGTAAGCGCGCGCGAGCGTGTGTGTGTGTGTGTGTGTGTGTGTGTGTGTGTGTACAGAGAGAGGGAAGAGGGAGGCCACGTGGTCACCCTCCCTGAGGCTCTGAGTGTGCTGTGTGGGGACCCCTGAGCTGAGCCGAGCTGGCGACCTGGCCCAGCTCACGTCCTGCGGACTCAGACGCAGAGGGTGCGCACTGGTGCTGCACAGAAGCTGTAAATTCCAGGAAACTCCCTGCCAGCCCTGCGCGGTGGGGGAGGGAAGAGGCTACACCACGCTGGTTCCCCAGCACTTGGAGAGCAGATGTGTCCGCCTCAGGGACGGCAGCAGAAGAAAGTTCAGACTGAAGTGTGCTCGCTCACTATAAAAGAGATGTTTGTGAGGAGGCCCTGGAGGGAGGGGTTTCAGTGGAGGAGGGGGTGCTCTGCCAGAAGTCTCTACTGGGGGCCCACAGAGACCATTGTATGCTGCTGGAGGGGACAGGGGAGGGGGCAAAGCCGGAGACCTGGGGTGTGGGAGCTGCTGGGTCATGGTTCTCCCGGTTTACAGCCAGCTCCCAAACACAGTTGCTTGCTGCTCCTGAAAGAGGCTGGGCCAGAAGGAGGTGGGGTCCTTTCCCACTGGAAGGCTGGATTGAAGGGGCCCCACCCTGGGGGTTCCCGGATGACTGGCCAAGGGCTCACTGAAGCCAGTGAGGGGAGAGGAGGCGGGCGTGGTCCTCTCCAGCAGGCCCTTCGGCTGTTGGGAAGGCCCTGGCGGCCCCCCAGGCCCTCCAGCCGAACCCCCTTTGCGGTCTGATCTGAACCCTCGCCTGCCCCACCCCCTTCCTTCTCTGCACTTCTGGGGCTGGCCTTTTCAGCCCTGGAAGCTGCCCAAGAGCATATCTTTGAAGCACAGCAAAGGTTAGGAAGAAGGAAGACAGAAACGTCCTCTGGGCTGGGGGAGTGGGAGAAAGGAATTCCATGCATGCCCCATGGGAGTCAGGGCGGCAGGCCTGGCGTGGCGGTTGGCTCGGCCGCGGAGGTGCCCGGCGTGTCTTGCTGCCCACTTCTGGCTGCCCGGCCCTGGGCACAGTGACCCCTCTTCCCCGGTCTGGGTAGGGAGCAGGGAGCCGTGGCCCTTGTTTACAGTGCCGGTTTCAACCTTGGCTCACAAGGGTAAGAGCCAGGCTCTGCCATCCGCCCCTACAGGATGCAAGACCTCATAATTGTCTTCAATTACAGAGTGCCGGCCCTCAGCTCTGGCTTCCGACAGGAACCAGAGCCCAAGCCACTACCATGGGGAGTGGGGGAGCAACCTGGCCCCTCTGCAGGGTTTGGGGGCTCCCTGTGGTCTCCAGGGCACTTCCAAACGCCCGCAGGTCCCAGGCTTCCCCATAAGGCCTCCTGGGGGCTTCCGAGAGCCCATCCCTGCTAAACCCCCACCTTCTGTGTCCCTGATCAGGATGAAACTTCTGTGAGCAGTGAAGATTTTGATATGAACGACTCCACATGGATGTCAGCTGACCCACACCTGGCCTCCAGCCTGAGTCCCAGCCAGGACGAGAGGATGCGGAGCCCGCAGAACCTCCACAGCCAAGAGGACGGTGAGTGTTGCTCGGCGGCTGCTGGGGGAGAGGCTACGCAAGACAGCAGGGGCCTGGGAATCTGGGGGTCGCCCCTCACCCAGTGCTCTCGGCACCTCCGTGGGCCCCACCTCCCAGCTCCTGGTTCCAAGGAGACCAGTCATTCCTCCCGAAGACAAATGAATGGCGCTCTCAGGGACTGGCAGCCTGACAGGCGTCATGCGGTTTCTTTGCCGTGATGTGGATTTCGAAGTCACCACGATCAGGTCTGGGGAGGTTAACAGTGTGCCTGACCCCCAACGGCTCCACTGCCCGACAGAGAAACAGGAGCTGGGCTTCTGCAGTTCCGATGGGAGGCTGCAGGGGCAGGGTGTCCCCAGCCCCGGCCTGTCGCCTGGTGATGGGGCAGACAGTGCACTTGTCCGCGTGTGCCCCCAGCGCCTTGGGATGAGGCACGGCCCGGGGTGAGGAGCTGTTGGGCTCTCCCTACCCCAGCCCCCGCCGCCCTCCAGGGCCTGCCAGCTGGCCTGCTGCAGCCTCCCTGAGAGCAGAGACCCCCATCTTGGGGGGAGAGCTGGGTGGGAAGTCACACCCAGAAGCTTGGCCCAGAGCTCGCCTGTGGAGGCCCTGGGGTGCTGGGGTGCTGGGCCCCGGGCTGCAGGGCCTGCCTCAGCCAGGTGCAGCTGCTGGCCCAGGTGGTGCCGATGGCCAGAGTGTCCTCCTGGCTGAGCTCTGTTTTCCAGGGAGGAGGGTGACTGAGGGTAGGGATGAGCCACACCAGGCCTCAGGGAACTGGGGTGTAGAGCTGGCAATTAGGGGAGGTCGAAGGTCGGGCCCGGAATGTGAGAGGGAGGTGCAGGGTTAAAAGGGGTGTAATCTTAACTCTGTGAAGCGGGTTAGCTTTAAAGAGTAAATACGGGCTAGGAGCCTTGCAGTTTGGGTCAAAGTTCATCTCCATGGCAGAACTGCGCACCTCTGACGGCCCTCTCGGGCCTGAATCCGGCTTTGTCTGGAGGAGCCCGGCCTGGAGGCAGCTGGGGTGGCTGGGCCAGGGGCTGGGGATCCCAGAGGGTGGTTCTTTGAGAGTAGGGTGCAGAGCTACTGCACGGAGGGAAAGAAAAGGCTTTTGTGCCTCTCCGACAAAGGTCAGCAGGACCCCCTCGTGCTTGGAGCCTCCCCGAGCAACACTGCCTTTCAGGGTTCCCACCAGGTGGGGGCCGGGCGGGGCAGCCACGTGCTGCTGGGGGCTCTGGGGCTGGGGAGCACCTGCAGCTGACCTCCCACCTCAGCGGGGCTGACTGAGAGCCACACCCAAAGGCTGCACCACGGGCTCCTCCAGGACAGCTCAGCTGAAGGTGTCGATCATACCGTCCCAAGAAGGATCCAGAACACTTTTTTAAAAACCTCAGAGTAGCAGGACTGATGGGGGGTCATATTGCCCCAACTCATTCTCAAAAAAGTCTTGTGGTATTGTTCCTCCCAGCCACCCTTTGGAGGCCTGACCTCTGGTAGAGACACTTCCTGGGGAAATTTGGTGACTTGGGGGACGGCCTCCAGGATCAGGGAGCAGAAGAGTGTGTTTCCGTGGGGGTCACGGGGCTTCCTCAGCACCATTGGCCCACTGCCCAGAGGTCGGCCGATGGTGAAGATGCAGCTGAGAGAGGCAGAGGTTGGTGCGGTCGGCGTGCCCTGCAGCTGGTCCCGCAGGAGCCTTGGGCGGCGGTGCCCAACCTGGGAGTGGTCATGACTGTTGCCCACACCGTTTCCCTGCCACTCAGGTCCCGCTGGGCTCTGGTTCCGGGGCCGAGGCAGGCTGGCCTGCTGACAGGACAAGGGTGTTTATCAGGGCGGGCAGCCAGAGCTGGAGACGGGGAGGATGGTGTTGACCATGATGCCATCAATTTAATTATTTAATCAGAGGCTGTGTCTGGAGGCTGTGGGCTGATGTGCTGGCCAGAGGCCAACCTCGACCCAGTGAAGGGGTCGAGGGCCTTGAGAACGCCCAGCCTGCTGGCCTGGTCTCTGCTGCCCCTCCTGGCCCCAGACCTCTTGGTGGCTGCCACGTCCGACCAGAGCAGTGGCTTCCCAAAAGGCACTGGCCCGGCGCAGACCCAGCCTGGGGCCCTTGTCCAGCCCCCCAGCCCCCGCAGCAGCAGGCAGCCAGCTTCCTTCTCGAAGGCGCTCGCAGTGGGGACACAGGCTGGGATCCCGCTCCCGTCGGCGAGGCAGTGGGAGGCCGTCAGGGGCTGCAGGGTGTCCCCGAGTCCCTTCTTGTTAACAGAGGAGGACCGGGTGGGGGCAGCCCCAGCAGGAGCCCTGCTTGGCTCTGCCCTCCGCACTCGGCCACAGCCCTCCACGGCCTCCAATCCCTGCCCATGTGTCTTCATCCGGAAGCTTCCCCAGCCCCACTGACGTACCCAGGATGGCTCGGTGTGTGCTCTCTGACCCTTGGTCCTCCATGGGAGTGGCGGGTGGGAGAGATGATGTCTGAGACACAGGCCATGTCAGCGCCGATCTTTGTGCTGCCCCAGTGACACTAGTGCACGCCTGGCCCGTGAGGCGGGGCCTGCCGCACATGCGTGGCTCCAGTGAATAGAGGACAGCAACTACTTCACAAGACCTGTCCCCCAGCACACCGTTCGGGGGGGCCTGGGTCCGCCCCTTGTCAGGGACAAGTTAGACTTTCTGCTCCAGGGAAACATCCCATATTTGAGCACCTGAGGATTTTCTCTTAGCTGGAAAGTGTGGGTGCTCCACTGGCCGTGCTGCTGGCCAGTGGTGCGGCCCTGAAGCACTTCCAGGAGCCAGGCCGTCGGCGGGGCCCACGTCTGTCGGGGGTGTGTCAGGGCCTCTGCTGCCCCCTCCTCCTCATCCTTTTTCAAGTCGTAACAAAGGCAGCTGAAGGCAGCGCCCGGGCAGGGCAGGTCCCGGGGCTGAGACCAGGCAGGAGTAATCAGCGGGCTGCTGCCCCCACCCACCCACCTCCAGCTGGTTTCCAAGGTTCACCGGCCAGTGGGAGGGTGCTGGCTGTGAAACAGGCTGATTTTCCTGCCCCCAAGCCCGCCACTGCCTGCCAGGTTTCACTTCGCAGGTCTCTTTGATAGTCCGCTTGCAGCCCCCCTGGAATCACAGCCCAGGTGCGGGGCACCACTTGCGAGGCACTTCCTCTCCGGGGGCTGTAGCTGCCGTAAGCACATCACCCTTGTCTCATGTCCCGAGAGGTGACAGGACCAGGGAGCAGATTTGGGCAGTCTGGCCAGAGTCAGGAGGTACTGACGCTGCCCTCTTCCTCCTTGGCAGGTGCCAAAGCCGTGTGTGAGGTTCTAGGGACAAGGTCTCAATGAACGGTTGTTCCTGTATTGCCCAGGAATGGGCAGGGAAGCCTGGCAACCAGAGCGGGCTGCCCACACACACTCAGAGCCTGGCCTTTGCAGGGGCCCAGAGGGACCCACTCCGTGCGGCCCCCACACAGCCGAGTCCGCTCCGGACCCACCACCGAGCTGCCTGAGACTCTGGGCCTTTGAGTGCAGACAGCCCTCCAGTCTCATCACAGGTGCCTGGAAAGACACCCGGCCCAGGGGCTGCCTGTTCGGGTGGAGGGAGGACTCCTGGGAGAAGCCAGCCGTGGAGACCTGGTCCACAGACAGACACTGCGGTCCGGTGCTGCCTCGGACAGAGCAGCACGTCGGTCTGTCGTTAGGCTGCCAGCGGGCCGCCCGATCCCTGTCTCCTCTTCAAACACCAGAGCCGGGCCCTAGTGCCCGCGGGGCCGGTGTCTGATGAACGAATGCGTGAATGAATGAAAAGGGGGGGTGGGGCCGGGCACCCCGGCCGGTGAGCCCGCAGGCCGGCCGGGGGGACCCTCAGAGGTGTGGCGGGGCCGGGGTCCTGGCCCCAGCGGGCAGCGTCAGGCGGGGGCCCACTCCTTCCATCTCCCCTTGGTGCGCTTCACCAGGCCTCTCGCTCTGCCCCTTCCTGAACGGAAAATGTGAGGCCTGGCCTCCAGAAGGGACGCATGGGGGGTGGGGAGCGGACATTACTCACCTCTCGGGCAGACAGGAAACCGGCACCAGGGAGAGCAGAGGGTCTTGCTTCCTTTTTCCTGCCGGGCCATCAGGAGTTGCTGGGCTGGGTGGCACCCTGGGGCATTTTGGGGCCTCTTGTTTGAGTCCCTCAGATGAGACCCTGCCCTAGCCTCAAGCCTCTGAGACCCCCTGGGCCTCAGAGCTTCCCTCTCTCGGGGGACCTGGTGCCAGCACCCCCTGCCTGCTGATGTGGGGCCGGACAAAGGCACCGAGGGTTCGTTCCGGGCGCCCCTCAGCTTTGTCCTGTGGGCGGTGAGCCCCTGTGGGTGGTGCGCCCAGCCCGGAAGCCCACCCTTGGAGGGGGACAGACACACGGCGCGTGGCACCCCTGCTGGGCTACAGGCTTCCTGAAGGCAGAGGGTTATCTCCGTGGAAATGTGTCTTATTTTCCCCTTATTTCAAAAGTGTCACGCTCACTACAGAAAATTTAGAAACAATAGAGGAGAAAAACGTGAAAATCAAAAGGAGCGATGTTTGGGGCATATTTTTCTTTTCTTTTTAAAAAAAGATGTTATTTATTTTTAGAGAGAGGAGAAGGGAGGGAGAAAGAGAGGGAGAGAAACATTGATCGGTTTCCTCTCATACGCGCCCCAACTGGGGACCGAACCCGCAACCCGCACACGTGCCCTGACTGGGAATTGAACCAGCGGCCTTTCACTTGGCAGAATGACACCGACCAACTGTGCCACACTGGTCTGGGTCAGGCATATCTTTTTTGATCCTCTCTGTGCAAATAATCAGTCTTCTTTTCGTAAAAATGGGGGAGGGAATCATGTAGCGTTGCAGCCACCTCTGTTTCCCACCTAATGTCACTTGCCCCTGTCACGGAAGTGCCTTTAAAAGGTGTTCCAGTGACCAAGGGCCCTTCCTGGGCCCTCTGCGTACTTGGTGCCGAGCTGGCGACAGGATGGTGTGAGCTCGAGGCTATGACTGTGC